GAGAGATGAACAATGAGCAGTGCCCTCACCGAGATTCGAACCTCGGACCTCTTGAATATGCGCCGAGTATGCTGACCATTACACCACGAAGCAAGAAGGCGGGAGAAATATCTTATACGTTATCTACAGCAACGTTTCGAAAGAAAACTTTTGTGATGAAACTTTCTTCATCATAACAAAGTGGAAATGACATCTCAATACCATAAAATTTCTCTTTTGAGCTTTTTAAGATGTTTTAAAGTTTTAGATAACTTTTATTTTGGCTATTTTTCTTCTTATTTTTTTTTTAAATTTTAGGTATTGTCAGTCAGGCTTTTAATAGCTAGTCTGCTTGGAAAGTTCTCCATGAAGAGCACTTTTACTTTAGTTCAGCTTCATTTAGGTTGTAATAGAAATTTGAAAAGGATAAGTAAAGAGTTACTTGATAAGTTTGATAAATTTCTCTGAGATGGTGTCTCAGATCATTCGGTAAAGTCAGATCTGGTGAGTTTCGATTTTCAAATTAGTTCAAGTCAAATTTAGGTCAATACCTACACGTTGTTCATGTACTACAGATGCTTCAAACAAGCAATGTAGCAATTGGAACACAAACTGAGCGAGGATGAACGATTTCCGTGCAGTGATAAAACATTTTTGTTTTAAAAAAGTGGATGGCCGTTAGGATCAAAACAAAGTTGAACAAAATTCAATGGAACTCTGTGGCAGAACTAAAAAACATTTATATCTGGATAAAGCGTCTAGACGTGGTTGAGTATGCAGTGAAGCTGAATCACTCTATGGGGAATCAGTTGAAATCACCACGATCAGTATAATCGAAAACATGATATCATTATGAAAGACCAGCGAATCGAAATTCTTGAGACTGAGACAGCAGGCATCATAAAATAGCAAATGTGTAAGGATTATGTTAATTTTATTAACAGATAAATTTTAAGTTAAAGTTCCTTTCCTGACAAATTCTTAACTTCAGCTTACTACTTCCGGCCAGAACGTAGTTTTAGAATCACTCTGAATATATAATGAGGAAGAGCTGTATTTAACCGCGAAGTTCTACTTGCTGAGTTAGAGAGAATTAGATTTTCTGATTAGCGTGCGTCTGCCTTTTTGGCTACTCTCTCGCAAAGCTGTTATTATGCTCGGCCGTACTCAGGCCTTTGATAGCTTCGCAGTCAATTAGCGTTAAGGGGCCAACTCGGTTAGAATCTTGACAGCTTCGGCTATATCTCTTTAGTTTAGATTAGTTTTTGTTTATTTCTTAGCCTCTAAAGTTCAATCCCAAGTGTCGGCTTTTATTGTACACTCCAAGAAGGAGTTCTGTTAAATCCTATTTAAATAATAAAGGGTTAGTTACCCTTCCATCTTGTTTCTTGTCACACGAACTTAAGCGAGTATTAGCTTAGCAGTTCTTAAGATTCTTCACGTTCAACAGCAACTTAGCCCTTACAAAGTGAGGAACTCTGCAAATGTAGATACAGTATTCTGTACGGAAAATTACGGACTCAGAGGTTGTGTAAGCAATGATTGCTGCCTTTGTTATCAACCGACTGGTAATAGACCATTGCAAAAACAAAATTTTAATCCATGCTTTGAATTCTTTCTTCATTCATTCTGTTGCCCAGATTTGTCTCCGATTGACTTCATGCTGTCCCCTGAACGTTCAGCTCGGTAGAAAGATATTCTCTTCGAAAAAGATGTCTTCGCCGCAATGCGATTCTATTTTACAGCTTTTGGAAAATGCTGTTTTTCCGACAGTATGAAAAAGTTGCAAATTCGTTAGACAAGGGTGCAAGTGAGAATTATGTTAGGAAATCTAATCTTTTTTTTTTTTTTCCGAAAAACGTCCTTTAACAAGTTTTTTTTTTTTTTTTTTTTTTTTCCTCTCATACTTATGAAATAATTCTCTTAAGACATTATTTGTTATAAGGAATATTTTCGCAGATAGAAAGGAAAAGAACGGACGTTAATTTAAAGCCTAGTTTTGCTATTTTGGGCGTTTATCTTATCAATCAATTATAACTGTGCACGTCCTATTAATTTATACGTGTACAGTTATAATCAATCAATTATAACTGTGCACGTATAAATTGTATTGTGGATAATTCCTCGTAAGTATCACTTTGAATAATCTAGGCTAAAATACGGTTTAATTCAAGAGATCTAGGATTTTGGCAAAATTGAAAACCTAAACGTTTATGGTAAAATCATCATCATAATAATAATGATTGTGATCGTCAGTATCATAAATTGCCATAAAAGCCTAGCAAATGGGATAAATAATAATAAAAAGAAAAATAAATACTTTTAAAATTACGTTTTAAAATTTCCGAGCAAAATTTTAATTCATTAGCTTTAAAAACATGAAATTAAGGACAGTTTAACAGTTACGATTTTGAAAACCTTTACATTTCTTCCCTTTTTAAATAAGAAATCAAGCATTTTACGATCTTACAATACTTTTACATACTTTAAATAACGTCACGGATGTTCAAAATCTACTGCATACTGAACTGTCGATGCTCGCAAATTACATAATATTTGAAAACGAAATTTTTCAATAAATGAAAGTATGATTATTTCGCCTGCTCTATGCAAACCTTTTCTTTCTGCGAAAGAAATCATTTCTGTACAAAATTACATAAAACTTGAATTATTTCAATTTACATTCATATACACTGATGACAATATTTCTCTTAGTAACTTCAATAACATTGAAAATCGCAAAATTATCTCTTTACATCTTAACTTCTATAAAACCATAAGTTTAAAAATGATACTTTTTATTTAGGTTACAGAATTATTAAAAACGTTTAAAATCCAAATTTTCAATAAAAGGAAAAATATTAAATTAAAATATGTAAATTTTTGCCCTGGAATTTGAACCGCTTTAAAAATGTAATTAGCAGTAATATAATTAATCAAACTATCAGGTTAAAAATACTTACACCATTATAATGATTTCCACAGAGAACTAACACAGTTTATAAACTAATTAAACATTGAATGAATCTCATATACAGTACACACACATAGAGAGTAATTAGAAATATGTATAAGAGTATGAAATCGAAAAAGTAAAACAATATAAACAAACAATTAAAGCATGGTAAATAGAGAATATAAAAAAGTGCATTCACCATGTGAAGATTTTGGAAAAGGGAAATGACGTCATATTCACATTATCATTTAAATGCAAACAATTAATTGCTACCAAATACGCATGTTTTCTAGAATATTAGTTTCAAAAGCACAAATTTATATCATTTAATACGATCCTCTCCAAAAGTTCCTCCAGTACAAATGACAACCAATGAAAATTGATAGATTTTAGTCCACCCAATTTCAAAAATATATATAAAAAAGTCATCAGTTACACGAATTTTGAGATATCGGCGAATTTACAGATAAAGTAAATTAACTCAAATGTAATAATATTAACATACCGTTGCTGTATACATTATTTCTGCTCGATCTTGTATGTAATAAAGAAAAGTTGGGTAGATACAAGCATAAGTGTTAATTCCGTACCAACTGTAGCATAACTATTATATATAAAAAAGTCATCAGTTACACGAATTTTGAGAAATCGGCGAATTTACAGATAAAGTAAATTAACTCAAATGTAATAATATTAACATATCGTTGCTGTATACATTATTTCTGCTCGATCTTGTATGTAATAAAGATAAGTTGGATAGATACAAGCATAAGTGTTAATTCCGTACCAAGTGTAACATAACTATTATTATCTATATTTTTAAAGGTCTATACATATGTATACCTTTTATCACCTAAAGCAAAAGTATATTGTTAGGAGGAGCTTAGAAAAACTTCAATAAAAGCTATAGTATGAAGATTTAACTTTAAAAAAGCAGCTTAAGGTAAACATTTGAATGTATATCTAAAGAAAATAAGAGTTGAATATACCGACTGGGAAGAAAATCAGTTACTAAAATAAGAATCTTTTTCAGTCGACAGTTTCAGTACGCCGTTAGGATAAATATTTCAAGTATTTTTTAAATTAATTTTATTAATATCCATATAAATTTCATGCACGGTTATTAACGCAGTATATAGTAGAACCTTTGAGTATAAATCAAATATTATAATAAAGTAATATCCATTAGAAAAAAATCACACTTTCGCTCCGTATGTGAAGTTTCATTTTCCCTCTATATGAAATTCCACTAATTCAATGAAAATTTACTCAGGTATGTATAGTAAAGAGCAGTTATAAGTATAGAAAAACTGTCTGGAAAAAAGAGTTTTACTCTATTAAAAGCGTCTTATGATAACTGTGGAATTTTTAAATGTTACAAGCATTTTCCCAACATCTGATTGAAATTTCCAAGTTTGAATTTGTCAGAGTTTTTTAAAGTTTGCACTTATTTAGCTCTGATATTTTCTTAGTGCTGTAGTTCATGATTATAATAAATATGCATGTTTATATGCTTAGGTAAAAGCGTCTTATGATAACTGTGGAATTTTTAAATGTTACAAGCATTTTCCCAACATCTGATTTAAATTTCCAAATTTGAATTTGTCAGAGTTTTATAAAGTTTGCACTTATTTAGCTCTGATATTTTCTTAGTGCTGTAGTTCATTATTATAATAAATATGCATGTTTATATGCTTAGGTATAAGCCGAGATACTTTGTTACACGAAAGAGAAAAATGAAAATTTCAAATTTAAATTTAGGCCCAACCTGCCTAATTTTAAACACAAAGCTTAGCGTCTATTCTTATTTTAGCTGCTTAATATTAAACAGAGATGTTTTAAGACGAACTTGAAGAAAGAAAAAGTCGAAGATAGTGCATTTATCACACTAGGTAACGGAGTTATGCAACGGGAACTACCGTTTTATTTTTTAATAATAACCGGTTATGACACATAGCTTAATAAATTAGATAAGAGAAATTCTCCAAGTGCTTAAGCAATTTCAGACATGAAGATAAAAAATATGAGTATTAACCGAATAAAATAGAAAACATCAAATTCATACCTGAATTTTCAAATAACTTTAAAACCAAACTCAAACAATTTCGCTTAAGCTAAAACTTTCCGAATTGGTAGATAATTTCTTCCGTTACTTGGTCTCAATATTTTTATACGAGGAATTTTGTCAGAATGCACATGGATGCTCTCACGTATCTCTCCAGAAAAGAGGATATCCGTGCCCTTTACTGTTTTCGTCAAATCGCAAAACAAAAGTGCTTCCCCCCAGCTGGATGTATTCTGAATTTAACTCCGCCCTGCTTGCTACTCTTTACCAATCAGTGATGATCAGTTGCTCAGCAAAGGAGCTGGAATGATTCCGTTTACTACAAACAAAGGAGGAGTAAAGCATCCGAGCAAAATTACCTTTCCCTCCTGCCATAGCTACTAAAGTTTACTCCGGTAGATCTGAATAACAGCATAAAAAAACGCAGATAAGAGCTTTGTTATTTCTAGAAAATGCGCGGAGACGTCTGCAGGCAGGAATGCTTGTTGTGCGGGATTCAGGTACTTAACAGAGTTTTTAAAATTTTTCGAGGCACTTTTTTGTCTTAGCATTATTTGTTTTTTATCCGTATTCAAAGCACGAATTTTAAACGCTTTAATTATTCGAACAGAGATAAGGAATGGAAAATTTTTCTTTAATATAGATAAGTATACAATCTTATCAAAAGTTTGTATACATGTGTTTTTTTAGAAATCTGAAATATTAGAGCACATTTTTCTTACATATTAACTAAGAAACCAATGTTTCAATAAAGCGTACAATCTTCCCAAAATCGGTATTATTCCGTTTTGAGGACCGTAAAAAAATTGCAGCGAAAATGCATGCGCAAAAGCGCCAAATCTAGCAAACGCTCCCATTTAACAGCGCGCCAAATTTTATATAAGTTTATATAGTTCTATTATTTCTTAAGACGCCATTGAAATACTAGTTTAATTTTTAAATCCTTTTTTGATATCCTATGGTGGTGGTGCATTGAGAATACGGCAAAGCACACTAGGGCTATCTGCCTAAGGGGAGGAATGCCTTCGTGGAGGACGTTCTAAAGGTAACTGGCTCGTATACACGTTACACATGGGGAAAACTACGAAAACGCCCATGCAGCCAGCCCGTTCGCGGGATTCGAACCTCGGACCGAACTACCAGCGTTCAGCGATTTTTACCGCTCGGCCGCTGGTGGGTCTGATATCCTATGGATTTAACCATTTGGGAATTGTCCGTGACGAAAAGTCTGCAATAGAAATTTGAGTAAAGTGCAGAATCCCTCACTGCTTGACGCGTTTTTAAGAATTGCGCATACTCGGTATCCATCTACACATCGACCTATTTTCACTTAAAAAAAATCCCAAGAATTGCACAAAAATGGCACTGCGCACACCCTTGACTTTATCTATGTACACATCGACCTATTTTCACTTAAAAAGTAAAAGAAAATTGACAAAAATCCAATTGTTTTTACCCTTGTAAAAAGCGGCAAACAACTAAGTGGGGCGATTCTGCACTTTACCGAGAATTTTTTCATAGAAAAGGCATCATTCATTATAGAAAATTATGTTTGAACAACCAACGAGATGAAATTATGCTTTAGCGATAACTCGGTAGCGAAATAGCGATGCAGTCATACATTCAGTTATGTTTAGCAATTTTTATATAAATTATAATAATGATCTGAAATAGTTATTTACTCTTATGCTTCCATTCAGTCATGTTTAGCCTTTTTTATATAAATTATAATAATAAAAATGTATTTTATAATAATAAAAATATTATTATAAAATTAACATTTCATCTAAATTAAAACATCAATCTTAAATAGTTACTATTTACTATTATACTTCCTTTCTTGCGTTAGGTTTGCCGCAATTATTTTTGGCAGCACTGGCATCAACAATAGTTTGGCGATTTTTTACGACCCTCAAAACCGAATAGTACCCAAAAATCTTATACATTTATATCTTATATATATATATGTGTGTGTGTGTGTGTGTAAACTTTAGTATATAATTTATTTTATACACCAGCTTAATGGCTGGAAGGTTTTGTAAACTGCTGTCTTTGCTTTATGAAACGCCGGATACAATAAAGAAAAGAAATTGAAATTAAATTATCTTCAGAAGGAAAAATAATATTTAACTGCACATATAGAAACTAAAAAATTAGAAGTCAATTTTTAGAAGGAGAAATATTACTATTACTCAGATATACATACATATATATATATATATAATTTATTCCTAAACAGTATTGATTAATTGATTATATTATCTCCTAAGTTTAATTAAAGTAGAATTATTTTAAAAGTGTGCATCCATACTGGTAAGTTTATATTTTGAAAGATGTTTTGAAGTAATTTGAAAGCAAAATGTTAATAATGTTTTAACGGGGACTGGAGTTAAATCATCACGAAGAATAATATTTCAATTGTAAAAGGAAAATTAAAAAACATGTAATCATTGTCATTGATCGGAAATTAGTTGACTTTTCAAGGGGAACAAACCAACTCCCGTTCAATGAACAATAATTGATAAAAATACGTAAATACGAAAGAGTTTCGTCTTTACTCGAATTATAAGTTAAAGCCAAACCGGCAATTCTAGTCAAGCCAAATATTTCCGCGAATAGTAGGAATTATGAACCAATGCTGATACTCAAAGAACTTATTCTCATGAAGCATTTAAGTCAATTCAATTTGGAGTAAAAATCAATTACTGTAGAGAAATCCTGTAAAACTCGAGTAACCGTCCCCGACACTTTCCTCTTTATGTATATATATATACTTTTGCAGAACTTGAACAGATTCCTAATTCTAGGAACTGAACTGCACTAAAAGCAAACCAGCAGAAAATCGCGCAAAATATATTTGTTGAGCCAATAATGAGGATAATAATAATAATACGCAATATTTCCATTGATATGATAAATTCTTTATTATTAAAATTAAATCAAAAATATGCATCAGATTTTCGTGAAGTTCGATCATTGGAGACATTAACATGAAAAGATATTGCTCCTGTGTTTGGGTGATAGGAAATTAATAGTCAAGAAGATACCAGCAAGATTAGATACACTTAAACAACTGTTTTGCGCATCTTCCATTGGAGAACTGGATTTTCTAGAAGCATTTCACATTCATAAAAATCTTTCTGTTATAGTTAACGATCCTAATTCCAATCCAAATTTGCCTTCGGCCTTTAACGAAATTATGTTTTAGTTCTGGTTTCACCAACAGATGGCGCCACTTTCTTATTCTTGTCCAGGCTTTCTTATCTTATCTAATCATTATTTCCTATCTGGTTCATTTGCGGTTTTGCAGCTGAAGATGGTGGTTCGGTAAAACCATCGAAACTAGTCCTGTGAAAATTTTGTAAATATAACGCTGATTTTTGTTGTTTGACTTCTGAATAAGTGTTATCTTGCTCTTTTAGAAGTATATTAGGCTTAAAACATTTGGATATACCCTATGTATTATTGTATTATCAAGCCACAAGAAGCGGAAGGTTAGTTTAGCTATTCTTCTTTGTTGTAAATTTCAGGATGAAGCACCAATAAAAATTTTTAGTTGCTTTGTGCACCTGTTGTTAAGAATTTGCACTGTAGTGGTCTTAGTCAAAATGAGACGAAAAGTTATCCAGCAGTCTAGTTTGTAACCTTACAAACAGTCTCAGATAAGATAAGTTTCGAGATTTAAAATTAAAGATTAGTTTTTTTTTCCTTTGAAGTATAATATTATTATTTCAAACAATTAACAGAGTAAATTTTATTCCTAGGCCCACCAGCGGCCGAGCGGTAAAGTCGCTGAACACTGGTAGTTCGGTCCGAGGTTCGAATCCCGCGAACGGGCTGGCTGCATGGGCGTTTTCGTGGTTTTCCCCGTGTGTAACGTGTATACGAGCCAGTTTCCCTTAGAAAGTCCTCCACGAAAGGCATCCCTCCCCTTAGGCAGATAGCCCTCGTGTGCTTTGCCATAATTAAATACACACACACTGTAAATTTTATTCCATAAACACTTGCACGAAATAATAAAGCTATCAGATTCTCAAAAACATTACATTCTTAAAGATATTTTCTATTCCCTATCTATTCTGATTATTTTCTTCCAAAATTTCTCCCTCCATCTTAACGACTAGCTCATTTCTTCTCAGAGCTCATTAATTTTATGTTTTGCGACTATCACATATTTTAGATTATGACTTTTATTTGGGGTTCTTTCATTTGTTCACGTATTATTTATTTATCTAAATGCACATTTTATTGTTCCATTTGTTTTTAGTAAGTGCACTTTAGTTATTAATGCTGGGAAAAGCATGATTACTATGAATATGAGAAAATTCTGGGTATATATCTCTTAATTTCAGCTTTAGTTTTGGAATAAATATTTTATTTTTCACATATAATCGATTTAATTTTTTTCAGGCATTTCTCGTTCATCAAAATATTTTCTTGCAAAAGCTTTCGGTCACAAATTTTCAATTCTACAGTATTTTTCAAAGTATTACATTTTAAATTATATATTTTAATTACTCTGTCCATTTTATCAAGTACCAAATTCAGATGGAATGTAAAATCAAAACTTTAAAATGCCACTCTTTCTTCGGACTGCCAGAGTTCCTTGAAATGCGTGCTTTAAAGCGCAGTTACTTGACTACTGAACGTATTTTCATTCTTATCTCACTAAAATATCTCCATGAATGAATGGAACAGCACTATCCATGTCAAATATTTGCTAAATTCGAGATATGTCCTAAAGTGGAAGAATACATTAAAATTCGAAACTATTCCTCAATAATCCAGGACGTCTGGAGCAACCATGAAGACGAGCTTAGAAAGGCCTCCACTATTCTTACAGATAATTCTGTAGAGTTTACCATAATAAGTAAATTAATTTAGTACAATTTCTTTTTTGGCTAGAGAATTGATTTAGCTATCTGGCTTTTACCTGGATTATTCAGATATTAAAATCATATTCACAAAAATAGCAGTAAGCTGCTTTATAACCTTCACACAAAAGATAAGTTTTGGGGCAAATACACGTAAAATATTTTAACCCATAATAAAAAGCACTTAAAAAACATTATAACTTTTCAAGTGCTTAAAAAGTCTTCGCTTTTAATAATAATGGCAGCAAACCCAAGATACGGAACATATCTAAATCTTGAGTGTTCCTGAATGATGCGTAACCACGCAATTCGACC